TTTTTCCGTTGTTGTTCGTTTATTTTTTATCATGAAAAATTATTCACATATAACGTTACCCGTGTTGTAAATAAATATGAATGAATTTGAAACAATTCACGCATAAATACTAATAAGTAATACCAACTAATAATATTCATAAAAAACGTAATCGCTATTTAATATGTTACTATCGTCGTTTAAAAAAAACGGTAATCATGGAAATGAATGTTACTTTCTGTACTTTCTTCTTTTCGATCATCATCAAGATGATGATGATAATAATGAAAATATCCGATCGATCATCATTAGTAAAAAACTTATTATTATTTATAATGTACCATTATTTTTTACTAGAATTTAGAATTATTAGCTGTTCAAGCATGTCTGTATGACAGTAGTTTTCTTCCGGTTACAAATTCCTACAGATTCTGTTGTTGTTGTTGTTGCTGCTGCTACTAAAGAATCGAATAATAATAACGATTGAGAATCAATCAAATTTATCGTATATTTCCTACAATCATCATTATTGTAATATTTTTGTCATTATCAACCTTGGTTCATTAACCAACAAGGTTTGTTCACATTCACATTCATATTCGATCAATGAAACCAAAACAAAAACAAAGAATATTCTTGTAGTAATTATTATTCTAAATCAAATGAATGAATGAATGAATGAATACAAATGCAAAAATACCCAAAAACCAATTATGCAATAATCAAAATCAATGAATACAAATTGTTGTTGTTGTCGTTGCTGTTGTTGATGATGATTAAAATATATGAAATTATCCACCCACGCGACACACACACACACACATGACAAACACAGAGAATGCGGAATCCAAAAGAATCTAGAGAAACAAAAAACGATTACCATCATTATGTTGATGATGATGATGATGATGATAATAATGATGACCTCGAGACAGAGAAATATAAAACAAAACAAAACAGAAAAACTTTTTTGTTGTTGTTGTTGTTGTTGTTACCCATATTATTATTATTATCCTATGTTTTTAATAATGATGATTATTATGGTTAGCGTTGGCGTTGGTGGTGGCTTGCTTGACATTTGAATTCATTCAATCATTTCTCTCTCTCTCTCTCTCTCTCTCTCTCTCTCTCTCTCTCTCTTCTATATTAATTATTNAAAACAGAAAAACTTTTTTGTTGTTGTTGTTGTTATTAACCATATTATTATTATTATCCTATGTTATTAATAATGATGATTATTATGGTTGGCGTTGGTGGTGGCTTGCTTGACATTTGAATTCATTCAATCATTTCTCTCTCTCTCTCTCTCTCTCTCTCTCTCTCTCTCTCTCCCTTTATATTAATTATTTAAATTCAATCAAATAATAATGATTTTGATTATGAAAGACTGATAATGATAATAATGATGATGATGATGATGATGACTGAATAACGGACTAAACGGACTATACTGTTATATTGATATAATTATAAAAATAATAATTATTATTATTACAAATACAATTTTTTTCCGCTTTCGTTTTGTTTTTTTTTAATCGATAAATTATTCACTGAAAAAGAAAATGTTTGGATGGATTTTTTTTATTTTTTTATTTTGGCTAATCTTGTAACCAGTGTATAATAGATTCGATTTTTTTTTTCTTTAATTCTGGGTTTTTCAGGTTGGATTAGAATTGAAAAATGTTTTTTTTTGCATAACGTCGTTTGTGAATTTTGAAAAAAAACTGGTGCGAGAAAAAATGTTACTGCAGCCCTAATTGAATTTTTTTTCCGTTGAATATTTTCCACTGATAACATTTTTTTTTTTTTTTGTTGAAGAGAGAGAGAGAGAGAGAGAAAATTGAAATTTTTCTTCTTAAAAAACGAAATATAAATTCTTTTTGAATATAATTTCCATTTATAATAACGTTATTCGTTTTTTTTCTTTGGCTTCTTAGATTTGTTATAGAAAAATTTTCCAGGGAAAAGAGAAATTCCTGCAAAAATATCTTTACCGTTTTCATTTTTCGTTGATCGTTTGGCATTTTATTTTTTTCCAGTTTTGATTTTGAATATAAAATATAAATTCTGCATAAACAGAATCTGATGCAGAATAATCAAAATTCATTCAAATTCCTTCGAAATAAAAAAAAAATAAAAATAAAAAAATCATTGCAAATTGCCTATGGGATTGTTGTTGTTGCCTGCTGTTGTTGTTGTTGTAGAAATAAAACAACAAACAACAACAACAACAACAGCATTTTTTTCAAATATATCTCATTATTTTCCCTGAAAAAATTTTCCTAAAAAAACTTCCGGTTATCAGCAAAAAACCCGAAACAAATTTGCATATTATTTAATTTCAAACACACACACACACACACAATCAAAAGAATCCTAACTAACTAACTATCTTTATCAAACAAAATTTCATTTTTTTGTTTGTTTCATCGATCGATTCTGTGATTCTTTGTTTCAAAAAAAAAAATTCTGTATGATGCATCATCAACAAAACTAGAAAAAAGTCAATAACTTTTTTCTCTCATTCTATTCATTACAAACATTTATGATTATTTGAAAAAGGTTTTTTTATTATTATTATTATTATTCAAAACATTATTTGTTCTCGATGATGAGATGCTTATGACTATAATGTTGTTGTTGTTAATGTTTCGTAATATTTGTTGATGAACTACGTAGTTGCTGTTTATTTTCAATTCAACTGAAAAGAATCAACTCGATGAGGAAAACAAAACAAAACATTTCATTTTAATGAAATGAATGTGAAATGAACAAAAACATTTCAATAGATTTTATTTGATTTGAGTTTTTTGCCTATTTAGTTCTTCTGGGTTATAGTTTTTCATTTGATGATGATGATGTTTAACAGTATTCCAAACAACAACAAACAACAACAACAACAACAACAGAATATAATTCGTGATTACAGCTTTTTTTCATTGAATTTTGTTTTCTTCACAATCGTTAAATTGATAGGAAAAAAAGCAAAAAAACAAAACGAAGTGAAAAAACAAAAAGCGAAAATTTCATTTCTTTTTTTTTTTTGGTCATCAAATCAAATCAGAAGAAGAAGAATTTTCTTCCATTTTCTTTGTCATCATCATCATCATCATTTTTCTTGTTTTGTTCTTTAACACCACCGCACTACACCACTACTGTATTCTGTAATCATCGTAAGATTTTTTTTTTTTGACAATTCTTATGATGGTGGGTGGGTGGTTTGGTGGAAATAAAAAGAAAGCTTCTTTGCTGCTGTTTTTTTTCAATTTACTTTACTTTACTTTATTTTTTTCACTCAATTTTCACAAATAAACGTTATCATTTTATCCACATTAAGACAACAACAACAACATTATCATCATCCTATAGGAAGTCTTTGCTTTTGTTGTTGTTGTTTACGATTATAAATGAACAAAACGGAAAAACAACAACAACAACAACAGAGATAAAAAACAAAGCAAAGCAAAACAGCAGCGAGAAAAAAAAGTTAATTAATCGATTATACACACAGTCCTTTTTTTCCACCGAGTTGATTAAAATGACTTAATTAGATTCGAAAAAAAACTAGAATCAAAAAGCAAAAAGCAAAAACCAACGATACCCAAAACAAGATAAAAGATTTTGAGCCCAGAATTTTTCTTCTTCTCCTCATTGAATAATCAAAACGTCCACCATTATTATTGGGTTTTTTTATTCAAATTCTGGTTTGGTTGTTTTTTTCCCTTTTTTTCGTTTGATTTTTGGGCTATTGGAAAACAAACTTATGTTCAACCAAATGACCAAATTGAATTCACCCCTCATTCACAGTTAAGAACGCATTAAGCAAAATGAATATGAAAAAAAAACAGAAATTTTCTACAGAATCAAAGAATATATTCACTTAGTGAATGAATGAATGAATATTATTCTGAAGAGAATTACTATGAAATAATTCAATAAAAATCAAAATAAATAGATCTGGTTTGGTTGTTTTTTCTGGTTTTTGGTTTGGCTGATTCGTGATCAATAACAACAACGAAAAACCAAAAAACCAAAATTTCCAAAAGAAAATCGAATTGAATGGTCATCATTGAATTATCGACATATAAAAAAACATATTTTCATCATTCAGAATTCTGAATTCTGAATTCTGAATTCTAATCAGAATTTTATGCTTCTTTTATAAAAATCATGTTATAAACATCCTACAAAAAGTATTTATTGTGAAATAATAAAAAAAAAAACAGAATTCAATGAATCAAATTGCTGCGAATCTCTGTGTGTTTGTTCGGGCAATTTGCTGCTTGCTTGCTTTTTAGAAGCGTAGGTGTTAAACTAGAAAAAGAAGAAGAATCGAATGGAAACAATCAATTTATCTCTGTTTTCCTCTCAAAAAACAAAAAGAATCAATGCTGATTACAATGTCTATGTTATTTATTTATTTGTTGTTTGTAAACTAAAATAAAAAATCGATAAAAAATTCAATTAAAAAATACAACCAAAAATAAAAAACTTTTAAAAAGATTTTTATCTATTTTCTCTCTCTCTATCTCAACAAAGTTTTGCAGTTCTGTTTGTTGTTTTCTGTTTGATTTACTTTCTCTCTCACTCACTTTACAATCTTCCTTTTTGTTTTTGTTTCTGGATCAAATTCAATTTTCGGTTTCATTTTCTTATTGCTTTTTTGTTTCGTTGCTTTTTCGCTACAGTTTTGGCCACTATCCTCCACTCTTATCCACCATGGTGCTTTTCCATTAGATTCGGGTGTAGCGATGTATGATCGCTACCCCCGAAACACAGCACTAATGAATTGATTTCATGGAACACAAACAAACAAACAAACACCGAAAATAACAATCAACACTAAGATCTTTTCATTTTGTTTTTGTTGTGAATGAAAATAAATTGCTTCAATAACAAATGATGATTTCAAAATGAAAAAAAAAACATTTTTTCATTTTTTCATTTTTCAGTTTTTTGATTTTGATTTATTTGTGAAACAAGTTTTTTTTTCTTGTAGATAAAAAAAAGGTAATGATAGTTGTTATCGATAGTATCGATTGTATTTTTTTTCCCCAATAAATCGCCCATCACTTTTATTTATTTATTTATTTTTGGTTGATTTGATTGTGATTTAGATGGAAACATTGCTGCAGCTGTTGCTGCAACTGCTGCTTCTGCTACGGCCATCATTGTTGTTGTTGATGTTGTTGATGTTGATGCGGATGCTGATGCTGATGCTGATGCCGATGTTGATGATGATGATGATGATGATTCACCTCTCAATAATGATGATAATAATGATGATGATGATATTTTTAATTGTTTATTTGTTTCCTGATCAAATGTTAACAAATCATTTGTATTACCTGGACTTTTTGACATTTTCGATATTTGATCAATATTTTTCTCTGTTGTTGTTGTTGTTGTTGTTGTTGTCGCTTTGGTTGTTGTTGTTGTTGTTGTTGTTGTTGTTATTGAATGTTTTAATAATCTAGCCATTTGTCTAAATTGTTTACGATTTTCATAACATTGTATTTTAACTTGCCATAATATTTGTAATAATAATTGATCCGAACGCATTGTTTGATATGTTTCAATTTGATTTGTTTGTTGTACTGTTGTTGTTGTTGTTGTTGTTGTTAATATTGATGATGATGATGATTGTTGTTGTTGTTGTTGTTGTTGTTGTTGTAATGGATTACGTTGTTGTATCCAATATTGTCCTAAAATTTGATCCAATTCTTGTAATGATGTTTTAGCTTTTTTTCTATCATAAAAAACATTTATACGACCAAAATGTATACCTTGTGATAAGGCAAAATATCTTGATCTGTGTTTGTTTGTTGTCGAAAAGGGGAAAATTTGGTCAGAAAAAAATTCAAATTTTTTTTCAAAAACAAACTGCGCATGTTCAGTGTTTTTGGTTTGTATTTTCTTACCTTTGTACAATATGACCATCAGTTTCCATCAGGATACTTGCAAACCAATCTCTTAATTGACGAAAATAATTAAAATAAACACGTAAATTAGGTGCATATAGCCGAAATGAATTTAAATCGATTGGTTGTACATCGGTACGATATGCAATACGACCACTACCTAATGATAATATTAAACGAAATGGTAACATACGTGATACTGATGACATCGATGATGTTGACGATTCTTTATGACCCAATAATATTTTTTGATTTTGATAAAAAGTTAAAATATCAAATGTTGGATTTGGTGCAATCAATGATCCATCAAAATATGGTATATCTTTATGTTCGATTGTTTTAAATAGGCCAGCACCTAAACCAGATATACGACATGCTTTCCAAAGTGTTAAATTTTCAATTTGATCATCAATAATTTTTAATCTTGCTGGCATATTATCAACAACTGTTGTTGAAAGTATTAAATGTTTTTTTTGTTGTCTACGAATGTCGGCCATTGTTTTTGGATCATTAAACATTGTCAATAATGTTTGCTCTAAACGATCAGTATTATGTTCTTGCATCCGAATCAAAGGTTTACGAAAATTCGAACGAAGTGTTAGATAAAAATTCAATATTTCAAATAATTTCCTACCAATGGCTAATGAACAACCAGTTGTAAAACCAAAACTAGTACCACTTATAATTTGAAAATAATTTTGTATTGGTTTTTTTAAATATTTTTGTAATTCATTCAATAATAATATCTGTATTAATGGATTCATAAATGTATCATTTATACCACCATCTAATATTATTATATTTTGTTGTTGTTGTTGTTGTTGTTGTTTCGATTGTTGTTGTTGTTGTTGTTGTTTAACAATATCAACAAAAAATAATTTCGTATCCAAACGATCATAATCATCATTCATAATCATTATTGGTGAATTTTTTTTACGTTTTTTCTGTTGTTGTTTTCGTAATCTTTTTCGACTTTTTTTATCTAAAATTTCAATTGGATTATAATCTTGTTTATCATCCACTTGCAGACAATCCATTGTACAATCATTTGATAAATTTTTTGGACATTTTCGTGCACCATTTGATTTTAATGATTTTATTATTAATTCATAAATTTGTTTCTGTTTATCAATATAACGATTAACATTTTTTATTCCTGTTGTACGATTTGGTTGTTGTTGTTGTTGTTGTTGTTGTTCTTTTTGTTGTTGTTGTTTTTCATTTGTTTGTTGTTGTTGTTGTTGTTGTTTTGATTGATCCGATGTTGTTAATACATGATGAATTTTTGTTATCGATCGTATATTGATTGGTGATTTTATTCGTGATCGTATTCGTTGTAAACGATTATCAATACGTTCAATTTGTTGTAATTGTTTTAACCGTGATGATGCTAAATGTAATGGGCTAAAATTCTGTTTATTACGTATATTTATCTTTGAACCAAATATTATCAATAATTGTACTAATATTATTGATCCATTCAATACTGCATGATGTAATGCTGTATTACCTTGATGATTACGTTGATTCAAACGGGCACCATTCATAATTAAACGTAATATCCAACTTAAATGATAATTAACAATTATTGGCCATGATGTTGATGATAATAATAATGGTGTTGTTGTTGTTGATGATGATGATGATGCGGATGCGGATGCGGATGCGGATGATGTACCTGTTGTCGCTGTTACCAGATTATCCATTTGAATATTATCATTATCATTATTATTATTAAATATACGTATTATTGATTTATTTGTTATGTTTGTTGTTGTTGTTGTTGTTAAATTTGTTGTTGTTGTTGTTGTTGTTATTGATGGTAAACGATCAATAAATGACATTAATGGTGTATCACCATTACGATCACGTTCATTAATATTAAATACATTTAAATCAATCAAACGATTTATTGTTTGCCAACATTGACACCAATGTAATGGTGTACCACATAATTTTATTGTTTGCCAATCAAATTGTTGTTCAATTTGTTCTGAATCATTATCAAAACGTATATATGGTGTTGGATCAGTATACCATTCTAATAAATTCATTTGTCTTTTATTTAATTTTAATGATTGACTATTATCATTTGTAACAGTAGTAGTAGTAGTTGTAGTAGTAGGGTTAATGGTTGTTGTTGTTGTTGTTGTTGTTGTACCATATGGTTTTGGTGCTTTAATTGTTAATTGTTTAGCTGTTATACCTTGTTGCATACAACGACGAATATGACGTGGATTTTGTGCTAAACAAGCAATATGTAATGGTGTCATACCATAAACATCTTGATGTTTTAATTGTTGATAAAATGCATTCATTTCTAACAATGTTGAAAGAACTTGTGGTGATGCTAACATTGCAAAATGCATTACAGTCCAATATTTTGAATCAACAATATAAACATCCATACCGCTTTTTAACATTAAACCAATTATATACATATTTGACATTGAAACAGCAATATGTAATGGTGACCATTGATCAGGATTATTACGATCTTCTAATTCTTCAATTGGTATATTTAAAAAATAATCAACATGATTAAAAAATGCAGCAAAATGTGCTACTTTCCATTCTGAATTATCACGATAACATTGTAATAAATTGATAATTTTATCAAGAATTTCTTCACGTCTATATCCCCATATCATTTATTTAACCCGTTGTGTTCGATGAAAGGGAAGAAATTAGGTAAAAACAAACGAAATATGAAAAAAAACTTACCCAAAATTACGAAAAAATGGTACAAACATATTTACTAAATTAACTAATGATGTATGTAATATATTGATTGCATTATCTAATGTTTCAAATTCAGCTAATGAAACATTAAAATCAGGATAAATATTTACAATCAATAAATATTGTTGATTTGTCGATGATGATGATGATGATGATGATGGTGGTGATGATAATTGTGTTTGTGATTGTCTAAATTCAAATATTGATATTGAATCACGTTGCATATCGATTGTATTTGTTTTGGTTAATAAATTATTAATAGAAATAATTTTCGGTGTATAACATATACCATCAATTTCAATTTGAATTAATTTTTCTTTCGTTTGATTTTGGTTTTGATTCTGATTCTGATTATCATTGAATTTTTCATCATCATCATCATTTCCATCCGAATCATTCAATTGATTTGTTGTTGTTGTTTTTGGTATTATTATCGATTCATTTGATTTAGTTATATTTTTATCAATCTCTTGTTGTTGTTGTTGCTTTTGTTGTTGTTGTTGTTGTTGTTGTTGTTTTCGAAGACGACGACCAGGAAATCTTGATAATATTAATCGAAATCTATTTGACATTTTTGGTCGTCGGACTTTTGGTTTTTGGTTATTTTTTTATTTTGTTTCTGAATCAATCAATGATCGATTAACAGGATCTCGAAAAAATTTTTTGTAAAACACGAGGAAATTTATACAGATTTTTTGCCAACAACAACAAAATAAGCGAAATGAAATTATTTCAAATTTAGTTCATTTGGAATTCAAATCAAATTCAATTTTTTTTTCGATTTTTTTTTTGTTTTCAAAAATTCTGATTTAATTTGAACCAACAAAAGTTTTCAATCTGAAATTCTGAAATTCATTTTGAAATGAAAAAAACAGAAGAAGAAACAGAATTACCAGTGAATACTTGTTATCGTTCTCATCATCATCATCATCATCATGATGCTTGATGTTTGATTCCGAAAGAATCCGGAATAAACTTGAACAAAAAACATTGATTAACTAATCAAATATTAACTTCTTCTTCTTTTCCGAACAAGTTTTTTTTTGTTTGGTTTTTGTTTATCGAATCTCAATACAAACATTGAATGAATGAATGAAACTTTATTTTTTGTTTGGTTTTAGGAGAGAGTAGGGGAAAGGGTTATCAATGTTTTTAACCCTTTTGTTTTTGTTTTTGTTAATTTAGTTAGTTGTTTATTCAATTTTTTTCCCCGGATTTTTCTTTCGATTGATTGAATTTGATCTATAGCTTGTTTTTGTTTGATTTTATTAACACTTTTTTTTCTGGAGAAAAAAAAAATTAATTAAATTTTTTTTTTTCAAATTTGAATTCTGTTTTGGACATTTATTGGAAATTATTATCCGCTCTCTCCCGGTTTTCTCTCATCACTTTTCATCGTCCAAACATCATCACCAAACACACACAGCAAAAAGATAACAGGAAAAAAAATTTACATAATTTTTCCCACCATCATCACCACCATCATCATAATCAAAACATTAAATATTGATTATCATCATTACCATCATTATAGTTATCAGTTTGCCAAACTCTTTTCCCTTCAAACTCTTTCTTTCCCGAAAAAAAAATGATAATAAAATTTTCGTTCCTTCAACACCTACCAACCATTATTATCATGAAAAATATATTTGCATATACAGAAACACATTTATTCAGTTTTTCGTACTTTCGTTTTATCGTTGATATTTTGTTATCGTCGTTGTCGATGGTCCATTGTCATTCGGCCGGCCGCCCGGCTCCATTCGGTCCAAGTTTTTTTTTTCATTTCTTTCGTTCTTTCGGTTATTAAATTAAAATTTTTTCATTTGTTTTTGTTTTCAGAGAACACACAGAGAGAAACTTGAACAAGCAAAATAAAACAAAACAAAGCAAATTTAATTTTGTATTGAAAAAAAAACAAACAGAAATTTTATCGAAATTGAAAAAATAAAACTTTTTTTATTTTGGAAAAATTCTGTTTTAAAAGAGGATAAAAGGAGCTGATTGAATGTATCATCATCATCATCATCATAGTAACAACATCTGTGTATGGCCGGGGTGTTGGTTGGATTGTTTCTTTGAAATTTATGATTATGGTCAGTTAAATAAATGGAAAATGAAAATGAAAATTTCTCGGTTCGTTGAATTCGTTTTTTTTTTATTTCAAAATTGGAAAATTTTCCATTTTGGTTCTTGCAGAATGTGAAAAAGACGCCCAATACATTAAACAAAACAAAAAAAAAGTTTAATTTGCATATATGCTTGTTGCTGCTGCCGCTGTTTGTGTGACAAACTGAAGAGAGAAAAATTCAGTAATGTAATATTATTATTATTCTGTTGTGATAATTGTATTACGCATGCGCTTTTATTTTCGTAAAAAAAAGATAGAATATTCTCTCGCTATTCATATCCATTTTATCCTTTTAAATTTAACCCCAGTTGTCTATCTACTATCTTTGTGTTAAATATTCAAAGCATGCATTGAACGAATTCATCAAATTTTCAAATGTTATTTATCTGCTTCTTGACTATTTCCACAACAGCAACAACAAAAACTACCCTTATAATTTTTTTTTGTTTGTTTTGTTTGAAGAGAACTGAGGGTTAAACAACGAGGAGGAGGAGGATGTATATGAATTTAAAGTTAAATGAGAAAAAAAAATGATAATAAAAAAATTCTTAAACCTTGTTTAGAAATGACAAATGGCGAGAGAAAAAAAAAACATTTGAATAATTTTTCCAATGGACATTGGTCAGTGTGTATCTAGTGAAAGCATGTGTGTGTGACAAGAAAGAAAAATGTTTTTTTTTTCATTTTTTGCTTAAGTAATCAATCATCGCAATTTTGTTTTTTTCGCAATTTTGTTTTTCGTTTTTTTTCTGCTTTCGATGCTTTTTTTTCTCTCTCAAATATGTTTGTGTGTGTGTGACAGATGTGTGTGTGATTGTCTACATAATGTGTTACATTATTATTATAATCATCATATTGCTGTTATAAAATAAATATGGGTCATGAATTTTAGTAAAAAAATTCTGTTTTTTTTCGGGCTATTTTAACATGAATTTGGAATAATTACGTAATCGCTAGACAACATGATACCATCTAGTGACAGTTTTTTGAAATACATTTTTTTAAAAAATTTCTCGCCAGCCACAAGATGGCTGGTGTTGTTTTATTTTGCAATTTTTAATTTTAAAATTTTTTAAAAAAAATTTTCTAATTTTTAAATTCTTTCTTTCTTTTTGTTGTTACAGAATTTCCTGGATGAATAAATATGAAAAAAATGTACAGAATATGGAATCTGGAACATAAATTCGAATGAATGAATGAAGAATATTGTTGAAATCGATTCTGCTGTGTTGATGCTTTTCAAATCCATCAAGAATATTCTCTCTCTCTCCTTTTTTTGTTGCAAACAACTCCTGAATTCTGTTCATTCAATTCAATTTTCGGTTCTTCAATTTTTTCTTCTTTTGATTCTTCTCTTTGTTTTTGTTTTTGTTTTGTGTTCGTCTATTTCGACCTAAATAATAATACCTATGCCAATCGAAATATAGAAAAAGTCGTTTTATTCACAAAATAAAATAAATAATCGGATTAAAATTTAACCAAAAAAAAAAAAAATTCTTTCAAATTTTACAATTTTTCATTCGAATGCAATCGAAACCAGAAGCAAATGAAAACAGAAAAACAAAACAAAAATTGAAAATGAAATGAATCGACATTGTCTACTTGTTCTAATCAATTTTTTTTTTGTCGGTAAAGTTTCCAGCAACCAAAAAAAAAAAACGGATTATGATTCGAAATTGAAACAGAAGAAAATTTCTCAAATAGAAAAAAATAAATACGGAAACGAAAGAAAGTTCCCGAAAGTTTTCAACAACAAAAAAAATTTCCAAATATCATGAATATGATGATGATGATGATCAATAATAATAATGAAGAAAAAAAAGAAAAAGATTATTACTAACTAAAAAAAACAAACGGAATAAAAAATCTGAAATTTGGTAATAAATTACATCAATCTAGTCTGGAACATCATATATTGATTATCGAAAAAATGAATGAATGAATCAAAGAAATTATTCTATTAAAATTCAATTATTCTAGTACAGCAAATCAAACGCAAGTGTTCAATAATCAAAAAGAATCCAAAAAGAATTCAATTGCGATTAGATTGAAACGATTGAACGATAAAATAATAACCTTTTTTTTACCTGAGTGTTTTGTTGTGTATGTTTGTTTGATCATTATCTCATCATCAAAAAATTTTTTATCATCATTTTTTACTAACAGTGCCTTTACATCAACCAAAAAAAAAACTTTTAAATCTTTTTTGGTGTTTTACAAATCAACATCATCGTCGCAATCACCGAATTCATTTTGCACAAAAAATTTTTTCCATTATTCTGAATTTACAAAAACAAAATAAAATAAAATTTGAATTTAATGATCAACATTGCCAACAAACAACCAAAACAAAACCATAACAAAGAAAAATGATAGGCGTAAGCGGTAGTCGACATATTGGACGTCGTAGAGGTTCAACAGCATCAACACAACAACAACAACATCGTTTATCAATCATAGAATCAGATATTGTTGAAAATAGTGAACGAAGAAATTCACAACATCGTGATTCAAAAGATGTATCAGATGGATCAGCAGCCGTAATTAATCGTAAACAATCAACAACAAATGAATCAAATCAACCAACAACAACAACAACGGCGACAACAACAAAATCACCAAATCAACAACAACAACGAAGACAATCATCAAGAATGTCAATATCGACTGGTGGTGGTGGAGAAAGTTTTCCGGCAACACGTTTTAGACAACGTCGTCGTGCTGTTGAAATATCTGATCAACGTACATGTGCATTATTACATTCAAGATTAAAAGGAATGAAATTAGAAGATATTGCGTAAGTAGCGTTGAAAAAAAAAATTACTTAATTTTGATTTTTGATCACAAAATTGATTTTTGAAAAGAGGGCGCTTTTTTTTACTTACCTGTGTAAATATGACAAGTTTTTTTACTGTTGCTGCTGCTGCTGTTTATAACTGATATTTTTCATTTGTCATTTGATTTGATTTTATTTTGTTAACACCTTGGTTGTTTTTAAGGTGTGTTTGACATATCAAATGATTTCCAGTGTTGAGTGCTTGGGAAAATTTTCCGGAAATTTTTCTTGTCTATTATGATTTGATAATTGAATTAACAGCAAATTTTTATCATAAATTTTGCTGCTGGTTTGGTTGTTATCAATGTTTGTTTTGTTTTGTTTTTCATTTCTTTTCTTTTCAGGCAATTTGTTTAAATTAATGAAAAATGTATTCCTCATTATCATCAATGAATGAATGAATGAATGAATGTTGCCATTTTTTTTTTGAAAAAGTTATTGAACAAAAATTTTGGTTTGGTTTTTTAAATCGGATTAATCTATAAAGTGTGTGTGTTGAGAATTTCATGTGAAAAAAAAAGAGATAAACAAATGAACATCATAAAAGTTTAGAATTCCCTGGAACTTTCTCTCCTCCATCTTGTTATTTTTGAAACAAAGTTTTTTTTATTCTACGTTTGTTATTTTTTTTTCTCTCTTCGATTTGTTTGTTTGTTTGGTTAAATCAGATTGAATTTGGAAAATGAATTTGATGGAAAAAACGAAAACGAGGGAAACAAAAATTTATTATTACATCTGTGTTTATAAATATAATAAAAAAAAACCAAAATTTTATTTTTATTTATGACAAAACATATGCAAAAAGAACAGAATTTATAAAAGTAAAACGTAAAAAGAATTTTATTATCATTATCATTGTAAATCTAATCTTTAATGATTCATTATTCAGATTCTCTGTTATAGATTGATTTTCAAATCAGAGAGAGAGAGAGAGAGAGAGAGAGAGAGAGAGAGAGAGAGAG